AACACTAAAGCCGGGCTCAGTGGCTCACGCCTATAATCCCAGCACTTTGGGAGGCCAAGGCGGGCAGATCACTTGAGGTCGGGAGTTTGAGACCAGCCTGACCAACATGGAGAAACCTCGTCTCTATTAAAAATACAAAATTAGCTGGGCATGGGGGCGCATCCCTGTAATCCCAGCTACTCAGGAGGCTGAGGCAGGAAAATCGCCTGAACCGAGGAGGTGGAGGTTGCAGGTGAGCCAAGATCGCACCATTGTACTCCTGCCTGGGCAACAAGAGCGAAACTCTGTCTCAAAAAAAAAAAAAAGAAAGAAACATTGATGTATTTAAGGGTTAAAAGAAACCCCATGGTATACGCAATTTACCCTCAATTGTTTCAGGAAATAAATTGTGTGTGTGTGTGTGTGTGTGTGTGTGTGTGTGTGTGTGTGTGTGTGTGTAGAGAGAGAGAGAGAGAGATAACGAGAAAGAGGCAATATCTGATCTAGCAAATAAGATAAATTATTTAAAATAGGCAGTCATATGGGTGTTCTTTGTACTATTCTTATAGTTTACTTTTCTTGAAAGTTTGAATTCTTTTTAAATAAAAATTGTTTTAAAAAAGTTAAACATTCACTTCAGTTTTTTCACAATGTCCTTTGTATTCTTGACTAAGAGGCAATTGGCTTTAGAGCTAAAAATTCAGCTTTTGGGCACCAAAATGCCTGTTTGAATCTTTGCTGGGCCACTCACCTGCTACTTTAATCTCTCTGTGCCTCAGTTTCCTTGTCTGCAAACGCAGGCATGACTACAATAAAAGTATCTGCCTTTGGGGCTGAGAAAGCAACAGGGTCCACGTGGGAGTGCTGAGAACAGCCCAGCCCAGGGTCAGCTCTCAGGAAGCGAAATTTTATCGCACTTTCCAGGAAGGAGAGTTACATGTAAGAGGAAGTGAATTAAGGGCCACAATGATTCTAGCAACAATGACAAGCAGTAGATATCTCACCTGCAAGCTATCAAGATTATTCAGCCTTAGCAAATAAAACAGTGTGGCGTGGATTCAAAGACAGACAGATGCAAAAAGTGACACAGAAGATGAAGCCCATTAATGGTTCTGACATATTAAATGGGTACAGAATAGACATAGAATATGCATCCAATATAGAATCATTGCAAAGCAAAGAAAGGAAAGATTATTACATAGATGATATTGCAACAACTGATGTCCCATGCAGAAAACATTAAAATTAGATACTTTCTTTAGGCCACAAATAAAAATAATTCAAAATAAATTGAAGACCCAATCATAAAAAATGCAACCACTTTAAAGTAAAAATAATTTTTTAAATGTTTCTTAAGACAGAAAAACCAAACACACAAAAAGGGAAAGACCAATACATTTGATTACATCGCGTTGAAAGACTTCTCACAGCAAAGGATGCCACAAAGATAAAAGATAAGCAACATACTGAGAGAAGATACTTGCAACACATGAAATGTACAAATAATTAATATCCAGAATACTACATAAAAGACCAATAATCAAATATAACTTGGGAGAAAGGTATATAAAATAAGAAAACTACAGAAAAGAAGAATGGGCTGTCTGATAATGTAGAGAAAGTAGTTATTCTCAGTAGTAATTGGGAACACACAAACTAAAATAAAAACTTCAAGATAAAATTTTATACCCTTCTAATTGTCAAGCATTGAAAAATCAGGCAGTTTCAAGTATTGCTGAGTATGTAAGGAAATAGATATGCCCATAACCCCCGGTGAAGAGCAGTTTGGTAATAGCCAATAAAAGGAGAATTTACGCAACATTTCCCCTTCCAGGAATGTCTTCTAGAAAAACAGCAGCAGGCGGGTTTCAGGAGGTAGGGCGAGAGGGCTCATCTAAGCATCCGCTGTCAGGCTGGAAGTTAGAGACAACCTAAATTCTGAAAGTACAGAAATGGATGAATAAACAGATATATCAAAGTGTTTCTGCAGAAGCTTGTAGAGTAGTTGAGATGAATGCATTTGACTCATATTATCAGAATGGGTAGATAATGCGGCGTGTTAACTATGCTATGGTGGATTCCTCCAAAGTTGTTAACAGCTGCAGAGCAACCCAGGACGGAAGCACAGCCAAGCCTGGGGTGCCGCTGCCTATGGGGAGGGAGGAAAACACGAGGAAGAAGAGGGCCAGACTCCACTTCTCATGTTCTGCTTCTCTGATGGATACATTGATTTAGCTACCTACCTTTAAATACATATCTAGAGAGAAAGTTAACATTTGATAATTCAGGATGTTGGCTCCATAAATGTCTGTTCCATGAATCTCAGTGTTTGAAAATATTTAAAGAATATTCAAAAACTATTTCTTTAAAAACTTTCTACCAACTCTGTATGGGAAAGAGTGACCTGGCTTCTCATCCCAGGGTCCCCTGGTCATACTTGGGAACCTGGATGTCACGGAGGGACTGGAAAAATAGTGCCCCCATACCCCCCAAGCCCCCTGGGGAACAGTTCTCTTACACCCTGGGTAACTGGCCTGGTCACCCGACCTCACGGGCGTCCGTCTGCTGGTAGAGGGCACTAACTAGTCCTCTAGGTCCTTTTCTCCAGTCAATAAAGGGAAAGCCCAGCGTTTTCTTCATTTGCTATCAACAGGCTGTCATGTTTGCGTTTTGTTCACAAACATTTACTTACTGGAATTAAGAACATACATAATCATTATGAAAAATGCCAATACAGAGAAACTAATATGCCCTATAATTCTTTTTCCTAAGAAGAATAAAGGATACTAAAAACCATTTGCTGTATTTCTTTCCAGTCAGTCTTTGGATATGTAAGTATCCAAAGTCATATTTTGCATATTGCACATGCAAAATATGACTACAGATTACTATGGAACTTGTAGTGATCACTTCATCACTTCTGCTTTGTCCACGTCAGTTCGTGTCTTTCATGCGTTTAATGATACATTAAAGCATAATTAATTTAGTCAAATTCCTACTGATAGTCACTTGTTTCTGGTTTTCACTATGGTTTCAGCAGTGTTGAATAATATCCTGTGACATATTTTGGCCGGGCTTTTACCCTATTATTTCATTAGGCTATATTCGTGAGGATGGAATTTCTGGGTGAAGGGTTATGAACATCTTACATTTTGCTTACAATGACACCCAGATTTTACCAAATTGCCCTCTGAAGAGATTGAATAAATGAGTCCCCTCACATCCAACAGTGAGTGCTCACCATGCGTCAGATCCTGTGCTAAGTGTTTTAAATGTGGTAACAGATTTCATTCTCCCAATAGTCCTACGCGGTGTCCCCAACTTATGGACGAGAAAACTGAGCATGGAGAGGATGAATTATTTGTCCAAGTTGTCCAGGCTGGTAAACAACAGAACTGGGATGAACACTCAGGGAGTCTAGCACTGAATATCCCTCCTAACCGCTGTGTGCCTCTACCGATAGTATATGAAAGCATACATGAGCTGTGATGCCTTGGCCCCGTGATTAAAACTTTATCCATAAAACACAGGTAATTGTGGATCTATTATACAGAGTTGCTCTGGGGGTCAAATGAGCTCATGTGACAAGTTTAGCACCCAGCACATTAGACACACTAAAAATTGCGAGGTGTTGTTAGTTCTTTTATTATGTGTGAGACTGGACATTTTAAAGGGTTTTTTTGTCAATAATTCCTCAATGAATTGCCTGTTTATATAAGTTGTACATTTTTCATTGGATTTCTTAAATTTAGCTTCCTTTTTTTCTGCCAGGACAGGCTGGTTTGTTCATCTAGATAGGTCAAAAGGAGAAACAAGGGTTACAACTTCCTTACCTTCCACCACACCTCCGGTCAGGCACACTGCATCTAACCACCGTGCACACTCTTAATTGCTGCTTGCCTGTTCCTGCCATCTCCTCACCGTCACTGCCAAGGGCCCATTTCCACGTGTAAACTGATGGATGTTGTGGCTCTCTGTCTGTCCGACATGCTAACTTCTGAAGGCCAAAGTCTGCAAAGCTCATGCAGACTTCAGATGGAAACCCGCCCACAAGACCAACTTTCCCCACATTCAGGATACAACCTATTGTTCTGGAGACACAAGATTTTATCTGGAGACAGACTGCTTACCACTGAGTCTTGGCACAGTGCAGGTTCTGGGAAAGAATGTCTTTGTATATATGAGGGACATATGCTGCCTATTTAGGAAACAACAGTTGATGACAGAGGAAACTTTGTAAAGCCACACATCTCTCTCCATCTCTGTATGTCTCCGTGCATGCATATTTCTAACCATCTCTGTATGTCTGTGTGTGTGTGCGTGTGTGTGTGTGTGTGTGTGTGTGTGTGTGTGTGTGTGTATGCATCTGAGTTTCCTCCTCTCTGTCTGCTTCTCTGACTTTATATTTCTCCCTCTTCATTTGGCCCTACTTTTTTATTAGTCTTTGCCTCTCTCCTTTCTTCCTTCTTTCAGTGAATGCATTAACGATAATTTTTAAAAATAAGATACCTCTGAATAGCAGAGTCTGCTTCACTGTATGAGAATCCCGATTCACCGTTAACTATATGGCAGCATCTACATACCTACGTGTTCTCACTCTAAGTCAGTATTTTGATTTGACTTAATTAAATTTAACTTAATTCTCTCACAATCACAAAAAGTAAACATGATTATCTCCCATCTCGTTAGTTCGGAAAGTTATACTCAGAGAGTTTCAGAGGCTTATTCTAGTTTATTAGCAATGAAGCCAATGTTTACACCCATATTTTTGTAGATACCAAGCCTGAAGCTCCTTCTGCTATGACAGTTCCTATTCTCATTTAGCCCAGAAGCCTTTCTAAGTTGCAGTGGCAGTGAGATAAACAAGAGCATTGCTCACTACTAGGTCAAAGTGAGAGAAGCCATCTGCGTAAAGGGACAGAGTTATGCTTTAGGGATCAAGCCCTAGTGGGCTAAGGCTCCCCCAGTTTCCTGCCCACTGAGGCTCCCCCAGACCAGAGATCCCCACAGTCGACACTTACCCAGGAGGAAGAGGATCCTCAGCACGCTGACTCCGGAGTCCATGCTGGCGCTCTGCTCCTGTCTCCTGGCAGGCCAGGCACAATGAGCCATGTGACCCAAGGCTCCGGGGACAGGACAAGCCCCACGTGACTGATGGGGAAGGAAGCCACTGCCACAGCCAGGAGGCTGTTCAGTTCCTCTCAGCCTCTCAGAAGACAGGGCTGAAGGAAGCCACTATCATCCTGGTCTCTGCCAGGAGCTGGCTGTGATTAGGCCCACTGCACGTGCTGGGGTATTATACCCAGCATTCTCTCCTGTAACCCTCACATGATGAGGTGTGATTTCTTGCCCAACAACCCATGCTGCTAAGTCTCAGAGGGGATGTGGGCAAAGGCGGTCTGCCCTGCCATCCAGCCCTTGCAGTAGCCTCTGATTTCGAGAAGTAACAAGAAATGCCCCTCCGGCCAATAGTCCAGCTCGGTCACTGTTTTTGTGCCATGGACCCCTCTGAGTCCAGGAATGCCTATTGCTGTCTTCTCAGAATAACATTTTTAAATGTCCAAACTAAAATAGGTAAGAATCATAACAGAAATCAGTAGTACCAAAGTATAGTTATCAAAATGTTTTGTTAAACCTGTGATACAGAAATATACATGCTTCTTTATCCACACAACAAGTAGCAAGATCTGGCAGCAGATGAAATAGCTACCAGCATCTTGACATGGTGGTAAATGTAATCAATATGTAGAGATACCCATAACAGCTGGAATGTGGATGGAAAAACCTGTGATTCCTACCAGGAATAAAGTCACCTGGTAGTAATGTTGCTATGGTTTGTTTGCCACAATACTATTAGAGAAAGATGCTAAGTTTTCCTTAGAGGTTAGAGAACAGAGTTGAAATTTTTTTCCCATCCAAGTTTACAGGCCCCACGTCCAGGTACCTACCCTGGAGGAGGCTTGGTAGTAACGCAGGCTCAGCCAGCACACTGAAGGCCACATGCTCCTGTGCTCCTTTATACCTGTACGTTGTCACAATGCTTAGCTGTTCAGCCACCAAGTATGCGGGAAATGTGACTTTTAAAATATAAATAAACTTAATGACAAGTCTTGAGCCCCCCACCCAACTGAGCTGGCAGAAATTGAGCTCTTTTCATTCTTGGGCTCCCTTGATCAAATCCCTGACGGTGGCAGCCAACACTATGAGCATTGCTACTGTGCCCAATGTCACCTTAGCAGGATTCCCTGGTAGGAATCACAAGTCTTTCCATCCACATTCCAGCTGTTACAGGTATTTCTAAATATCTATTCCACTTATCACCATGTCGAGATGGTTGTAGTTGTTTCATCTGCTGCCAGATCTTGCTGTTTGCTGTGTGGATAAAGAAGCATGTATATTTCTACATCGCAAGTTTAACAAAATCTTGCCCCAGAACATGTGTAAGAAAAATATTTCACTTTTCTCTAAGTGTACAAGCTGTCCAAGTCCACACAGCAGTGAGTATGAGAGCTGGACTCAGAACCCAGACCCTCGGCTGGCAGTCTACACCCCTAAGGCTGCATCTGCCCTCCGTGCACAGGCAGCACACACTGCCAAGGTCCACCCAGAGTGGTCCAATTGCCCTAGTGCCACGGATGCCCCCTGGGTCCTTCTGCATGGCTGCTGTAGTCCCTTCTGAGTTTCTCATAAATAATGGACATGAGTGGAGAAGGCTGGTCATGAGAGAAGTAATTGGCTTCATTTGGGTGCCTTAAAGTTCCATCCGTCCACACTTTACTTATTTCATAAAATTACAATCAGTCTCCACCTGCACCAAGAAACATACTCTTTTATTTATCCTGGAATATGTGGAGATTTTTTCTAATTTTACCCCAGTTTTAATGGGAACATGTATAAGAAAAAATATTTCACATTTCTTTAAGTGTACTGAAAGAAAATGCCAGTGAAGACCCCACAGTCTGTAGATGGTGGCTGGGGACAGACGAGCTACATTCAGGCCTGGCCCAGGGCTTCCAGCCACAATAGGCAGTTCCATTTCTATGTGAAATCACTAAGTTTCAAATGTCAGGAACTGATTTTAAAACACTTTTGCACGGGATGAGTCAATCTAAACACCAGCATGAACTTCTGCACCCTAACACCTGCTGAAACATTCTTGGGGGCTCAACCTGTGCCACATACTCTCAGGAGAGGAAGCGTCTGCAGCCGCTTTTGCAGCCTCTGAGTGTGGAAAATGCAGTCTACTCCCTGCTTAGACAGGCAGAGTCCCAAAACACCCCATAAGCTAGAATCTCATGAGATACCCTGGCATCCAGGTGAGGCACCTCGGTGAGATGATTGTGTGTCTTTTCGATGTGGCACAATGCACCCAGAAGAACGGGTGTCCCACCCCATGCTCCAGTAATGAACACCCAGTTCTGATTGTGAGGCTGCTCCTGTCACTGGTGTGGGATGGCTTGCACTGGCTGGGGAGCTGTGAGGGCAAGGCCCAGAGCACCTGGCCTAGCCCCTGACACAGCACGGGCTCCCTGCCGGGTTTGTTGAACGAAGAAGTCAATTCATCCGATCTACTCTGGAGGCTGAGGCAGGAGAATCGCTTCAACCGGGGAGGCAGAGGTTGCAGTGAACCAAGATCGTGACACTGCACTCCAGCCTGGGTGACAAGAGTGAAACTCTATCTCAAAAAAAAAAAAAAAAAAAAAGGAGTCACTTCACTTTAATTCGCTTTCTTATCTCATGCCCAGCCAGCTCAGCCTCCACCCTACCTGGCAGGAATGTTTTCCAGGTCATCTAGGTGAGGAGGGTCACTGCACTGCCGATCAGAAGAGAATAAGCTCCAGCAGCTCTCAGATCCTGCCCCCACTCGGGTACACAGCCTCCTCCAAGGCCACCAAGCCTGGGACTCTTCTGTCTTTAACACTGTACCCTCACGACCAGCCAGGGAGTCTTTAGTGAATGTCAGTGAATGCCTTTAGTGCAAGTCACAAGAAACCACCAAACTCTCATCATTATGCAAGATTTTTTAAAATTTAAAGATAGGGAGGATTCAACACACAGATTTGTTTATTGGCCTTACATAGAACTGTGCACCTAACAGTTAGAAAATGACCATTTTTTTCAGCATGCATGCAATATTTACTCCCCTAAATGGTCATACACTGGGCCATAATATAAGTCTCAAAAATTTCAAAGAAAAGGTGACATATGGACCATATTTTCTTATCACAATTTAATTGAATCAAATGACAGTAACAAAAATACGTAATAGAAATTTCTATCAGTTTAGAAATTTAAAAACATTTCTAAGTAACTCATAGATCAAAGAAAAAATTACAGTGAAAATTAAAAATAGCTAGAACTTAATAATGAAAATGCTGCACATCCGATTTTGTAGAATGCAAGCCAGGTAGTATTTAAAAGGAAATGTATATGTAAATACTTAGAAAAGAAGAACTGAAAAAGGAATGAGATAAACAGCCAGTTTGAGAAGTTTAAAAAAGAGTTAGCCCAGAAAAAAAGCAGAAGAAAGGAAGCAATAAATATGAGAGCAAAAATGAATGAACCAGAAAGCAAAGGTAAAACAGAGAGGATTAACACATCTTAAATGTTTCTTCTTAAAAAATTAATAATATGAAAAACTCCTCACGGAATGGATTAAGGTAAAAGAAGAGGAGACAAAAATAAATAATATTAAAAATAAATAAGTCCGAAAGGTAGTAATGATGGCTTTATTAGCAATCTTATGCCAATTAATTTGAAAACTTTGATGAAATGAACACAATCTCAGGAAGATATAACTTACTGAAATGAACTTGACAAAAACAGCAAGACAGAAGGATCCTGATGCTTTTCAAAAAACTGAATCAAATAGTTAAAAATCTTGCCACAAAGAAAATATTCAAAACCATTTTACAGATTTTTACAGAAATCTTAGAAACTTTAAGGACTAGAAAATTACAATATTAACAAACGAGTTCAGATAACAGAAATAAAATGAATATTCTCTGACTCATTATGTGAGGCTAGTGTAATCTTTCTACCAAAACCAGGCAAGAAGAGAGTGAGAAAGTAAAAGTATATTCCAATCTCACTAAATAAAATATAGCCCAAAATCCTTTTAAAAATTACCAAATCAAATGTAGCCAAAAAAAGGATAAGCTATTATGACCAAGTCATTCACCACCTTAATGGATTAAAACAGAAAATAAATTAAATTGGCTTAATAGATACAGTAAAGCGTTTGATAAAATCCATCATCCATTCATGATAAAAATTCCTGATAAACTAGAAATAGATAAAAACTTCTTTTTTTTTTTTTTTTTTTTTAAATGGTGTTTCACTATATTGGTCAGGCTAGTCTCAAACTCCTGACCTCAGGTGATCCGCCCACCTCAGCCTCCCAAAGTGCTGGGATTACAGGTGAAAAACTTCTTAATCTAATGAAAAGATACCTGCAAAAATATAACAGCAAGTGTCATGATTATGGTATACCACAGAGGCAATTTCTTTAAAATTAGGAACAAGATGCCTTTTATCACTCTTTCTATTCAAAATCGTCTAAGGTCTAGTTAGTGTAATTTAAAAAAAATAAAAAATAAAAAAGGAATACAAAGAATGAGTACTGGGAAGGAAGAAAAATCTGTATTCTCAGTTTATATGTTTGTCTACACAGAAAGCCTCTAAGATTCAGAGATTAATTGTTAAAATAATAATATGGCTGAATACAAGGTCAATATTTTTAAAAATCAATTTAATTTCTATGTATCAGTAACAAACAGAGAACATATTATTAAAAAATATAAAATTTCACAACCACTATTTCACAATGTATACATATTGCAAAATAACATGTACCTGAAAAATACATGCAATTTTGTTAATAAATAAGTACATAAAAACTAGTAATAATTAGACCAGAATCACCAAAAATTCTCTCTCTCTTTCTATATACATGCATTTTTAAGGAATATAATAAATAGATAACACATTTATTTTACATATATGAATAATGACTCTAACAAAACTTGCTCAAGATGCATGGAGAAAATATTAGTGCACAGCATTAAAGAGAATCTAAGCAAACAAAAAGTGTGCCAGT